AGAAAGAACAATGTTAACAAAAATTATTAATAACTAAAAATCATTAAAAAACAATAAGATGGTCGGAGTTTGAAATGAGAGTCAAATAATTCACTTGAAACACAGTAAAATATAACAACAAAAAGAGCAAAACAATAAAAGAAAGTAATTTTTGACGGAGTTGATTGATGTTGTCGAGCTGGAGGGCTAATGAGTTCTGGTTCGTTGAAAATGCAGATCTGCAATCTGCAAAACAAACAAAATCGTGAAAGGGAAGGGGAAGAGAAACAACAACGATGGTGGTTGCTTGTTGCTGTTGGGTTTCATGAGCTCATGGAGTTGAGAATGTTAGAGCTGAGTTTTCCGTGTCGATGAGGCGGTGGCAGAAAGGGTTGTTTTGGGGTGGTGATTTCTGGCGATTTGGAGGTGAGTGGTGGTTGTTTGGAGGTGTTTCCGATGTAGTTCACCGGAGTTTCTGGTTGGGGGAGGAAGATGGGTTGAGGGAAGTCGACCAGTGGGGTCGATTTGGGTGTTTTCTGGTGACATTTTGGCTAGAGAAAAGAAGTAATAAAAGGTGGTCTGGTTCGCCAGAGTTGGCGTCTGGTTGTGAGGTGGTTTACAAATTATTTTCTGCCGGAGTGGATTGGTTTCAGGTGGGTTTGGTCGCCGGCCAGAAAGTGGGTGATGGTGACTGTGAAAACGGAAAAAATGGGGTCGTTTAGGGGTGGTTGTTTGGTTGTTGGACAACAACGTAGAGAGGAGAGGCTGGTCGAAAAAATGGGAAAACAAAGGTTGAAGTTATTGCTTCTTCCTCCCCTATTTTCCCTTTGTTCATCTCTTGGGTTAAGTGTTAGAGGGTCGGGCATGGGTTTAAAAATGGTTAACAGGTCATTTTTTTAAGATTCTGGTTAATTTAAGTTGATTTGGGGCTTTCTGTCAAATGAGGGGTATATATGGTGAAATTGGTAATGGTAGAGGTAAAAATAACTTCACTTTAACAATAAGAGCATAGTCAACCAATAAAACAAAGTTGAGGAATATTTTTGACCCTTTTCCCAAACTATATTAACCTGATATTATTATAGAAATTTATAACAAACTAAAAAAAATATCTTTATGTGTCAATAAATGTGTATTGACACTTTTAAGTAAGATAACCTTAACGGATATTTACTAACCTATCATAACTAAGCCATTTCATATTACGATTTTTTTTTTCTAAGTTCGATATCGAAATTTTTAGTTAAATGTCAATGATCATATCAATCATATACTAACATAATTTATTATTTATTTTTTCAGCCAGTTGGCAATTAGCTTACGTGTGAAATTGTTAAACAATATAAATATTTAAAAATGACAGAAAAAAAATTAAATTATTTCCCATGCTTATTTAGAAGATCCCAAGAATCTTCCTTCCGTTACCAAAATCAACTACACACTACATATTAATCCTATATCTACAACTAATAATCTTAACCGTTTATCATCTCTATCACAGATTTAACTTCATCATCACACTAGCAAATTTTTCGTTGTTTGATATCTATCATCGTATTTTATTTGTCGAATATCCATCCATTTTGTTATTCTTCTTCCTTCTTGTAGGTTTTTCAAATACCCATTTGGAAGATATGGATATTCGAATTTGCTGTACTTTTATGAGGAAGCGGTAAGATCTAGGTATATTATATATCTTTTTTAAATTTCATTATATTATTGTATCAGGTTATTATAAAAGTTTGGAACATGCTTTTACTGTGAACCGAGAAGTATAGGATTACCACCCATTTTTAAAACCATATAAATATAGATATTCACCAAAATTTAGTTAAAATTTTCACAATTCCCTGTTCTTCTTCCCTCCTCTCTCTCTCTCTCTCTAGAACCTTCCTTGTAACAGTTTCTCTCTCTACCTATACATACATATATATACACTGTATATGCAATCTCTGTTTCTTCTTGTTTGATTCTGATTTCTAGTTGTTGTTGTTGTTTCGGTGCCCTTCTTCTTCTTTTTTTTTTTTTTTGATTTTTTTAATGGAGATGAAAATGGAGGATTCGTGTTTGCTTTCGTTGATTTCTGAGGTTTCTTCTGGAAGATGCGCTGCTAAAAATCGTGGAGTTACGCGGTTCACGAAGATACCTATAATACCGAGTACGCCTCGAAGTTGTAAGTTTAGGGTTTGTTAAATCTTTTGTTAGGGTTGATCGCATTTTACGTTTTATCTGTTTTGTTTCGTACTGACTGAAGCTGAATTTGAAGATTTGGTGTGGAATTTCGTAAAGGTTGTTGTGAATTCTGAATTCTCTGTTTGATAATTCTGCGTAATTCGAGAAAAGTGGTTATTTCGTTGTTGTATTTCATGCGAAAATTCTGAAAATTTTAGCCGCGTTTGGTGATTTCTGTGATTGTATGGACAATTTTGAAAATCTGGTCAGAGATCTGTTGGCTTTTGTTGTTCAGAGTACTGCTTGAAAGATTAAGAGACTTTAAGAGACCTGTAGATCATTTTTAAGAAGTTGTTATCTGAGTTGAAACTGGAAAATTGATTGAATGGCGGGTAGGCAGTTAGATTTCCCGAGGACGAGTGGTGGTAACTTGAAAGAGCAATTAGTGAGGAGAACTTTGCAGAATGTGAGGTCTCAAGGGCACATATATGTTGAGCTTAGAGAGGATGGGAAGAGGCTAGTCTTTTTCTGCACGCTATGTCATTCTCCATGTTATAGCGATTCTGTTCTGTTTAATCATTTGAAAGGTAATCTCCATACTGAAATGCTTGCTGCTGCTAAAGCCACATTGTTGAAACCTAATCCTTGGCCCTTCAATGATGGTGTACTTTTCTTTAATGATCCGGAGCAAGATAAGCACTCACCTAATGTGAATGTTGGGAAAAGCAGACTGGTTGACACTTGTCTTGAAGATGAAAGTAGCCTTGCTATTGTTGAGTGTGATGACAACTTGAGACATAATGGGGATACATATGTTACCGAGTATGAGTACTGCCTGCTGGATAGTGAGTTAACTGGTAATGGAGAGAGTGAGTACTTGGTTATTCCGGGTGTGTTGTGTAAAGACGAGTTATCTGATCTAGAAGTGAAGCATATTGGTATTGGAAAAATTGCCGCTCGTATTAGCGTACGTGGCATTGACTCAAAAAAAATTCGTAGAATATGGTGTGAATGGTTGGTAAAGAAGGATTCTGATGATATGGATACCTCTGTGGTTCCAGATCATGATTTTGCGGTTGTTACATTTCCTTATAACTATAATTTGGGTAGGAAACCGTTACTTGATGACAGATTTTTGCTCCCTTCCAGTCCTTATTCAGAATCTGAGGAAACTAGTGGTACTAGAAAGAGGAAGAGGAAGTCATTTTCAGACCCCGAGGATTTCAGTGAGTCTCTTAGTAATCATTGTGATTCGTCCGGGGAAGAATCTCAATCAACAAATAACTCAAATATGAAACTGATATTGGGAACATGTGATGATCAACTAGTGAGTTCAAGAATTATATCCAGCAAAACTATGAGGAGAGAGTTGAGGAAACAGCAGCGAGTGGCTTCCGAGAGAATGTGTGATATCTGTCAACAGAAAATGCTTCCTGGTAAGGATGTGGCAACTCTTCTGAGCTGGAAATCTGGAAAACTTATGTGCAGCAGTAGAAATATGACAGGGGTAAACAATGCTCTGTTTTGGTGTTTTTTTCCATATGATATTTGTTTATTATTGTGTTGTAGACTTGTTTCTCCACTTTTGGAGCCTTAGCAGAGATCCATTACTTATTACTACAATTCATGCTCATTCAAATCCTGTGTCAATACAGGCATTTCATTTGTTTCACGTATCTTGCCTCATTCACTGGATACTTCAATGTGAATTGCAAACCTATGTGAAACCTGTTGACGAACCAAAAATGGAAACAAAAGCAAAACGAAGATCTAAGAGGAAGACTGGAACCAAACACAATGCAAAAGAGAAGGAAGATGAGATAAAATCAGCGAGACGGATCAACTCAGTGTTCTGTCCAGAGTGCCAGGGCACTGGTATCATCATTGAGGGAGATGAGCTGGAGAAGCCTCCTGTCTCACTTTCTGAGGTTTGCAAACAACCTTCAAGTTTCCATTCCTCTCTTTCCACCTTGCCCACCCACCCTCACACACACAAAAAATAAAAAGGGAAGGGGAAACCAAAATAGATGTGTTTTTCCCCCCACTTGCTTGGATAGCTGTTGATCACCACATTTATATGTGTCTTTTCCCACTTGGTTGGATACCTGTTGATCACCACAGTAATGCTATTTAATTCATTTACATTTTCTGTTTCTTCCATGTGCTAATTCTTCTTAGTTTCAGTAACAGAATATACTCCCTGTTCCTGTATTTGTTATGTGAATTGGGAAGTAGTGCCAGTTTATTTCTTGGTAGTAATCCTCAGATATGCTAGTGATATCTAATATCTCTTTATGAGAGTCCTGTTGGCTCATCGAACCAACAGATGATGTGGGGCCTAAAGGGTCATTTAGACTTGAACCTGTCGTGTTGCCATATTAGACTCATTTGAGTGCAGTGTTTTGACTATGAGTGGATGTGACTGAAGTTATTAGTACTTGTTAGCTTATATCTTTAGCTTGATTTTCAGGTGTACAGGCACAAAATTAAACTGAGTGATGCACGAAAAGCATGGATGAAGAATCCTGAGGTGTTGCAAAATTGCTCAACGGGTTTCGATTTACCCCCTGAGCATGATGATCTTCTCCAGGTTGGAATATTAGAGGTTATGTCTATATGAAGAAGGGGGATTGATCTTAGGGATCTTACTATGCTTTTTGTTTTGCAGGAATATGTATCACCACTCAAATTGCTGCACTTTTATCGCGCCAATGTTTGAAGCTGAGGCTATATTTTTGATGTATCACACTGACGAGCATTCACAACTGTGATATGTGTGGAATGAGTCTTTACTACTGTTATATGTAGAACTTAGTCTTTCCGTTGATATTAACCTTTTGTAAATGTCATGGGTCTGATGAAACTATTGGTTACTGTAGTAGTGTGTACAGACTTTAGAGATGAATGTGTAATATGAGAAGACATGATTTTCAATTCAGATGTACTCCTTATTTGATAAAGATTCATATATCATGCTTCTTCCCAGGTGCCGCCGTGAGAAGTTCAAATCTCTCTTGTGAGAAACAAGCTGTCTGCATAGAATATTGCTGAATAGTTTCATTTAACATTTTCAACTTTATGCGGAAACCCATTTAAAGCACAGGCGCCAATAATTCACTATAGTAAGAAATTTTATATTTCAAGTCATGAGTAGAGAGTCTTCCTTATTGAAGATCAAGATACAAGTAATATATGACATTGAGCCAAATTCGTGTAGTACATTATTCATATTTCTTACAGCAGAAAAAAAAGTCTTTATCATAACAAGATAAGACATAACAGTACGCAACAGATGAGAAAAAAATGTACTCTGCGAAGTGATTTATCATCAGCTTGCAATTGTTGCCTTCTCATTCTCAAACTAGTGCTGCCTACTAGATGATGCGCGTTTGGATATGGATACAATGTTGGTGACGAGTTTCCAGAAACGCGTGCTGTTTCCCCAATCATATTTGTTGTCGTGCCACCAATCCTGGTTGTATTTGACTGATGATGGAGTTGTTGAGGTGGATGTGAATCAATAGTGTGAATCCCAGGTCTTTCTGGTATGACCATACCATTAGCTTGAACTTCATCTTCAGATGTTTTTGTAGCTTGGTCGCGGCCATAGAGTGGAACCATGCTTCTTTCTGAAACATCAGCCTTGCAAACAGGGCATTGTGGGTGGCGTTGAGATGAATTTTCGGAAGGGATGCTATGTAAGTGGATCCATTTGTAGATGCAAGGCCAGCAATACAAGTGACCACATAAGGTAACCACTGGATCATTTGCAAGATCCAGGCAAATGTTACACTCAAAACCACGAGAGAGATAGCCGCCGCCTTCACGTTCATCATCAAACATCTTCGACTTCTCTAAGGGGGTACCTTCTTCTATTTGCTTGTTGCAAATGAAGATCTAGGACCATTTCATGCTTCTTGATTGCTAATGCCTGTAGAAATATATGAATAGATTCCAGGATCACAATACAACACAGAATGGATAAAATGAGTCAAAACTAATCACTTTGTTACTCAAGACTCTTAAAAAATATCAAGTCCTCCAAAAAATACTGCATTTTTGGAGGATCCAACACGGACATACTTAAACATATGCTTTTTACCCCCCCCATTCCATCCAACAAGAGCTTAACGTACATCATAAAACACCAAATAAACTGATATCACAACTATAAGAAAAACTACTAGAAACTTATGCATAAAATTTAGAAACTGAGGGGATCTTCGTAGATAAAACTTATGCCATGTAACAACACGTGTGTTTACTTATTCAACTTTATACAAGTTTAAGTGTTTACTTGAGCACACCGAAAGTTGGAGTGCAGAGATGAAGCCAAGTTAAAAGGGCCATACTCTTAATGGTGTGACGCATTTTGGCGAAAATCATTCAGATTTAGCCCAAAACAGACAATATCTCACTAGTCATTAGAAACAACAACAAAATAACCCCTTCCCCCCCAATTTCCAAGAAAGCAAAAACCTAAAATATGATACTTCAGGCACAATAGAAATCTATATTGCTCAGACTTTTAAAAAATATTCCGTACTCATCTTGCATTCTTCAAAAATACACTGCAAAAAAATCTAATCTTTTTCAATAAAATACACTCCATAAGTGAATTAGAAATATAGACACAGAGAAGGAAAAAGGAAGATACCTCAACTGGATACAAACATCAGAATATCCCACTCAAAAGAAAAAACACTTTAATCTCATGTTGATTGATATAAAGTCCCCCAAAAGAATGGAGGGGCTAAAAATAGTCATAAAAGAAAATGGTGTGCTAGTGAGTATGACACTTTGGTAGTATATATTTGCCCATTAGGCCATGTTTCAAATATGATTAAAGCAAGTGTTATATGATATTATTTTGGGAAAATTTTCAAACAACAATATTTTAGCATCTAATAGGACCTCTTGTCAACACTTTCAATATTTATTTAAAATGTCAATATTTTGGTTTGTTATAGGGCTAACTTTTGTATTTATTTAATTTGAAAAAATACAAATCTTCAACAACAAATTGGCGAAAATCATGGGAGAAAATATTTCAAAAAAGATAAAAATCACTTAAATCTCTAACAAGTTGCAATTGAAAAAATACGAAGTGTCATCTCTCTCTTGTTCTTTCAAAAGTCTTTTACCATTGTTCTGAAGTTCAGTTTTTGTATATCGCGTCACTTTTCGTTGGATAACAAAATTTTGAATTAATCAATTGGTATTTCAAATAGAATTCCATCGATTTCTTTAAAAGTTCAAATTATCAAAGAAAATAAAAAATGGTCACGAATCTTTTAAGTGTCGATTATTTATTTATTTTTGGATGAAAGTAGTCGGATCTATGTATTTATGGAATATAAAGTGATAATGAAATACAAACTGAGCACGATAAATACTTATTTCAATTGAAAAGTTAGACCACATAATACAAAACCTGATTGTATACCATTAGGACAAATACAAATTAATATGTAAATAGACTATATTTTGGTTATTTAGAATTGAGAATGAATACAAAATCAAATCTAAATACAAACTATATGGTATACAAAGTGATATTGAAAATACAAAATGAGTCAAATAAAATACAAAATCTATTTACTAATGCAATTAGTATATATATATATATATATATATATATATATATATATATATATAATGAA